TTTTTTTGGTTTTTTTTTTTAATGTAACCATGGCAACATGTGGTGGATTTGGGGGCGTGGCAGGAATCACAGCAACAAGCCATGTGACATCGTCATGAAGGACACATCGGGGCGCAGCATGCAATCACAGTGCAAAGCAAGACAGCGTTGGGAAAAAAAATAAACAAGAGAGAAGGGGAAAAGCCAATTACAATTATAATTAAGGAAAAAACCAAAACATTCTCAACACTTAGTACATTTATAAGCAGAACAATGATGTATTAGACTCCGAGGGCCAAATTTCCAAAGGGGGGAGAGGGTGGGTGTGCTAGCAAAAGCCCACGTCAGCTCGCACCCGTGGGGAGTTAGACACAGCCAGTGCACGTTCCTTTGGGTGGGGACATTTTGGCAAGCGCACCCTCCCACCCGCCTGGGAAAGCTTGTCCCCTTCCCTCCCCACCCCATCCCCGCCAGCAACCAGAGGTACATGATGCACTTTGCAGTGGCCGCCGCGGCCCTTTCACCAGGTTTTCTCGCCTCTCTCTAGCAAGAATGATGTTTCGGCACAGGACAGAGCTGGAGGCACTGCAAACGAGTGGCTGGCAGCCCAAGCTCTCTCCGTACAAATTCAGTGTGCTTCCTTTCCACCCTAATTCTACAGGATTTGGCAAAACTCCCCTCTTGCTGGGTAGGGGGGGATGGAGAGGGGAGGGGGCCGAGAGGGAAAAATACACAAATGAATCTGAACAGCTACGATTTGCAGAAAGAGCATCCGAAAGGACAACACGGCAGCAGGGAGCTCAGCAGCCTCCTGAAGCTGCACATCCTGCAGAGAATGGTGCTGGAGGGGATGTTCCAGGGCACTCATGGGCATCCCCCAAACCCAGGGGGGTTTGTGGGGCCGGGGAGCCCACAGGAAGGCCCAGCCATCCCCACAAACATGCAGCAGGGAAGCAGACTTGCCTTCCCCTCCACCCCAGCAGCCACGTCTGGCCCCGGCAGGGAGCACGCGTGCCTGCGGGCTGGGCACGCTCCAGCCACGGGACATTGGAGCATGTGGGTTAGGGTTTCCTACAGGCAGAGGTGTGTCTGAAGGGCTCAGCTCCTCATCATGCAAGCGGTGTATCCTCCCTGCACTATAGGGATGGGGAGGTTCGAGAGCAGAGTGCTTAGTCATTCCTGCCAAAGCCTTTAGACCTGCTCCCCAAAAGCCTTGTACCCTCCCCAGGGCTCCTCCTCCTGCCTCTCTCCCCCTCTGGCTGAAGCACGCACACATCTGGATGCTGGTAGTCTTGTATAACCTTGGTTAGAGGATGAAAGCTCAGCTTTCATGCACCCTACTGTGCCCCAAGACCTGCACAGGTTCTCAATAAGACCCAGACTCTGAGCCTGAACGTACTGGATCCCTGGAGCAGCAATGAGCATGTGTTCAGCCCTGTCACCTCACTGTACCCCAGGTACACCAGCAGCAGTATCTCCCTATGGTTCCTCGTACTTGCACAGCTGACACTCCACTAAAGAGATGCATCTTCAGCCAGTTCACAGTTTAAGCCCTGCTTCTTTTGCTGCACAAGCAGCACCCTGCTCAGGCAGGGCTGACCCCCGATGTGCTCCTCCTTAGTACCTTTATTACACCACTATCCTAAAATGTCCTCAGAAGGAAAACCGAAATTCCACTCTAATCCACCTGATGCCTGATAAAAAAAAACCAAACCAAAAGGATCCTCCCATTGCTATTTCCTTTTGTTGGATGACTTAAATGGGTTGTAAAGACATTTAAGTGACAAATTTTTCTCTCTGCAGCAGAACTAAATAGGGGTGGGAACACATCACCTTGAATTCTCTTATTAGTCACACGGAACACTGCACTGCACAGAAATTAAAAGAGATACAATCATTTAAGCCTCAGAGAAGACAGCGGATAGACAGTCACACCACTCAGTCACCCAGGTTCTCACTGATGCATACTAACTTGCTGTCTCTTTCAGATTAGAAAAAGTTGAGAAGTTTGTGTAGAAAAACCTACCAACGCTTGCAGTGGGTGTCATGCACAGAACTGACCCTGCACACCATGCATTGAAGCGTGGAAAGATGAACAAAAGGGATATTTCATTAGTGAAGCTTCAGTGTTAGAAATCACTTTAACTAAAAAGCAGGTATTCTCTTTGCAGCATTCAGTATTTAAGCACATGCAAACAGATTCTGCATATTGGTACATAAATAGTTTAAACTCAGTTTTAAGAGATCATAACAACCAAATTAATTCTTGAATTCTTGGGTAGTAGAGAATATATTTCTTCTCCCACCTGATATTAAATTATACGATCTATCCTAGAAATCAGGGTTGTTTGGAGTTGTTTTTTGTATCAGGTATGTCGATTTTTTTTTTCTGTTCATGTCAGCAAAAAACAAATTGCTCTTAGAGGAACATCACACTCATGTTAAAACTGACTTTCCAAAAGCAATTTACTCCTGCAAGCAGGGACTGCGATTCAAAGTCTCTAGTTCAAGCTGAAAGAGGCAGGTTTTTTCTGGACTTGAAACAACTGTAGTAATAACGCCATTTTCAATAGACATCCTGACTTTCCCCCCCATGGCAACCCATGATACTGATCTCTCAATAACTGAACAGGAGAAACTAAGGAAAGCAACAGCTCGCTTCCCCTCCCCACGGTGTGAGCTGCTACATGCCACTTCTCTGCTTTGCCTTCCAGAGCACTGCAAAGGCTAAGAACAGATCTGTAGGCTGATGCATAGGGAAAACAGGGATGCGTAAAGTAAATTCATCTGAGATCTGTCCTCTGACTGGAAATTTGCTGCTCTGCCCAGCATTAATGTCCTCAGATGAGAGCAGGTGCCAGCAAATAGACCTGTTACGCATCAGCTCTGTGCGTAATTTCATTGTCATGAGACAAGGCACAACAGCACAGTGAGAGTGCTGGGCAAAAGCTAATTTATGGTGCTCACACCAGAAATGCATGTCCTTATGTCAACTTTGGCAACTGTGACCTCAAGGAAGAAGAGCACGTAGCCAGCTCAGGCATTTGGCATTCTCAAAGGTGTCAGTGTTTCCTGCAGAAGTATTTCGCTTGGCACCTAACAGAGTGTGGTAAGGTCAGCTCAGCCCATCCCCTCCAAGAACATTTTGCAGAGCACACGGCAGGAGGCTCCTACCTCAGTCCCTCCCTCCGTCTCTCTGTACAAGACTCCACTTCCCTGGAAGAACACTTTGGCAGCTGCTGAATTCTGAGTGTCTCTAAGCGCTCTCAGAACTGGAAAGGCGCATGAGCACAGGGTTTAGGTCTCAGCTCTCTGGACCCACATTCACACCTGAGACACAGTTTAGTCTCCATATCGGACTGTCTCTAAAGCCTTTCCACTGACCCAAAGGAACAGCAAGGCGAAGGTGCAGCTACACTGCGTGTTCACCTCGAGGGGCCAGCCCAGAGAAACACCTTGTATATTTCTGTAAAGACCATTTGGCAAGTGAATACACATTAAAAGCATTGGGTGTTCTTTTTCTTATGATGCTCTGCAATGATAATAATGATACTAAAAAACAAGCCCTCAACTCTGGAATATTCCTAATTCACCCACTTACAACACTTACTACTCTAAGCAGGTTTTGTTTTTCATTTGGTTGCAGTGAATAGAGGCTAATTGACTAGTCAGCAGTCACATCTGCCACGTCAATATTCCAGTCCTATATGAATTACTGAACTGCATCTTTCAATTTTACTCTGAGACCTTAAAGGTACAATAAAAGCTAGGAGTTAAATTGCTTTTAAAAAGCTTAGGCTATCATACTGGTCAAAAGGCAAGCAAGAGGGAAATATATGCCTTTAAAGAGGATTACATAATTTGTATTTACTAAAGATGAACCGTTCCCTCTATAAACATCATGGCTGCTGGAATATGTAGGTCACTGAGAAGAAGCTCAGAAAGATACCTGCAGCTTCAAGTGAGCAGGTAAAAGACATTTTAACATGAGTATGTAAAGGTGTTACACAAGAGTCAAAGAATTAATTTGGGATTAACCAGTTTAACCATAAGGAGGAGAAACAGAAAGTATGAATTCAAGAAACATGCAGAATTTTTCTTAGTTTGACTGCTTAAAAAAAAACCCCAAAACCGAAGAAAAAAGGCTAAGAAGGGATCTTTACAAGTGAAAAGCTCTGAATAGTAGTAGGTGAAGGAAAAAAAGTCAAACAACAAACGTTAACTTTTCAGCAATTTTTAACACTGAACTACACACTGATACTCTTTTCCTAAGGACTCTTAAAATCTGTTCATTAGCTCAATGCCTTGGTCATAAAAAAGACAACTAGGATGCTGGGGAAAGCAAGGAGACACTTACCTGTAGGGATGAATGTAGGCTGTTGCAACTGCATGTTGGCTAGAGCCTGTTGGTAGTGGAAAACGCTTGGGTTAAAGACTGTGGTGGCACCATTGTTTTTTTCAAGTGCTGGCCTCTTTGGTAAAGGTTGAAGGGCACCAGGCGGCAGGGCCTGTGAATAAGGGAGTCATTAAAGACAAGTGGAGTAAAAAAGGGGCCCAGAGGTAGATCAAGCATACAATAAATAATAAGGGGTCTTGGCTGCAAATTACCTGCAAACTGTGTCAACTTAGTGAGACAGGAAAGAGGAAAGCAGCTAAACCACAGTAGAAGTGGTAGGTGAAACCACAGCTTCACTAGGTGAGCAGTTAGTAAACGTACCAGGAGAAGGGGCAGAGCTGAGAAGGAAGAGGGATGCTAAGGGAGCTTTTCTGCAGGACTGACTTGGGCACACAGGGAAAAAAAAAGCACAAGAAGGAGGAAAGGGAGAGGCGATCACCTGGAGAGGACACTATGAATAGCAGTTGCAGGCAACAAGCATTAAAAAAACCCAAAACGTACCAGCTAAGAGTAATATAGTAGATGACTACTTAAAAACAAGAAGATTAGCATAAGCAACAAATGCCATGGAAAAAAAGGGATGCTTGCCTCTGCCTGTTTCAACACCTGCCTACGTGTATGTGCGGAAGCATGGAAGCACGCACACTTGTATGCAGCTGACCCATGTGTCCAGGTGGTAAAGCAGTAGCTGTTGCCAATTATACGCATAATGTTACGTTCCTAGTAGGAACGTAAGGCTGAGCAACATGGTCAAGAACATGCCTGATTTTCCACTGCCTGCACCAGTGGCACAGCTCACCACCAGCAGATTTGAACCTGCTCCCAACTTCTAGAAGGCCTCCAACAGCTAAGTACTGCTTGCTCATTATTAACAGTGGAAAAGGCCATTGACAAATCTGGTGTTCAAAGATATGGGTGGGCCCTGCTACCAGGCAAATCCTCTCTTTTTGTTCTATCACACCACCGAGCTTCCTCCAGCCCGTCAAACCGGTTTCATGATCAGACTTGGTAAAAAGCACTAACCCAACTCAGGAACTCTTCTCAGTGAGTTACTCATCATTCACCCAAGCATGTCTCAACAGCAAAGTAGTACATCAAGTTCTTAGGAGACAGGAATGTTTCTAGTGATTTACAGCTTTTCATTGTACCCAAGCAGAAACCACATTTTTTCTCCACATTGTGATAGAAAGGGGTCCTTCTTAATTATGCCCTGCAGTCCTTTTGCACGTAACGCTCCATTGACGTCAATGAGATTTACGCACGTGGAAGTCATGCAGAATCAGGTCATTTCTGCCTAGTTGTTAGTCTACATCATGTAGCAAAGCAATGGCTGAAAAATAGGGTTATCACTCCTATTTTTTTTTATAGGTCACAGTGAAAGGTGGGCAATGCAGGAGGTCCAGCTAATGAAGGTTTAAGGGTATAAACACACAGTACTCAGAAGAAAGGACACATGTAAAGAGATTTTAAAGTGTTATGAAGATCAACACACAATAGAACACAACTGAAAGCTTGCAACAGTTCGTCACCATCTAGAAACAGGTTTCACTTTAAATTTAATTTGCTATAGGAGACTGCTCATCTGAGAAATGTTAAGCAAGATACTTCCAGGCAAAACATTACTCCATCCTATCTCTATTCTCATGGTGGTTTTTGGGTGGTTTTAATATTAAAAAAATAAAATTAGAAGAAGAAATTGCATTTGCAAAACTGCTCTCAGACATGCACACATTCTCTGCTATTGCTAGCAGGCATCCAATGCCAGCGTTAGGACTTATCTTTCCATATTTCTTCTGGCTAGTACCAAAAGACAGCAGTAAAACACAGGACAACGTTCTCAGACACAGACACCAACATCTTTTGCTTAAGATCCATATTTTAGGATGAAGTCTTTTAGGTAAAGATCTAAGAGATTCCATTTCTAGGTAAGTCTTCATTGCTATCTATGTTAAATCTGACTGTATCTACATCTCGTCTATTTAATGATGGCTACATGAATGTTCCTCCAGGCACAAGACAGACCCGCAGCTTGCAGAGACTGGGGTAGCTCCACGTACATCAGAGATGTTTTGCAGATTTACAGTGACTGAAGAACTTGCTGCTTAAATTCATGCCCCTTACTGTGCTTGATTGCTAAACATTCTTTTTCAGATCCTTCCAAAATCTGCCTCAGAAAAAAAAAAAATTACTAATTATAGCAAAGCAACTGTGCCAGGCACATAATGGACTTTTGACTCCTTGCTTCTTGGCCAAAGGCTGTCACCACCCCAAAAAGCCCATTATCCCATAATGGCAGTGCCAAAAGCAGAACAGCTGAAGGCTTTGAGACCTTGCCATGATGTCCTGGCTCTTTACAGGACAATGCCCGAGCCCAGCATTGCAGTCAGGGGGAGCACACAAACACCAATTGGCCATAGGGCTGTCAAGTCACAACAGACAACCCCATCGTTTAACATCAGCCTTCCTCCTACCCTGCTACGGCCCCTGGGAGCAAGGGAGAGAAAGGAGCTACGGCAGTCCCACTGCTGCTCCCTGAGCAGTGCCTTTGGGAAACACCTGAACAGCAGAAGCCCAAATAAATGCAACATTTCCAGAGTCTTCTAAAGAAACAAGCAGACTGCAGCAGCTGCTGTGCAGCCTGAAGGCCGGCTCTGCCATGTGGGCTCAGGAGCCACTCTCCGTCCACTTCTGGTTTGACACAGCCCCCTGGGTCACCTCTCCCATCCCGGCAGCTGGGGGAGCATTCGTACAGGAGCTTTTCCTGCTGACAACTTATTTTAGACATTAAGGTGCAGGAGGGCCCAGGGGAGCAGAAGGATCTGGCTTCACCACTTCTCCAGCCCTTGTGCTGAGGCAAGAGCTTCACACCAGGAGCACACTCACTGAAAAGTCTGTCTACAAGTGCCCGGGAGAGGTGTCTAAAATTGCATGTGATGAAGTTGGGCCAATACAGGTCCTGCACAGGATCTGGCAGGGACACAGGAGCAAACAAGTGTGTCTCATTTAAAACGGGCCAGAATTTTTATATCAGTCTCAGGACCTGCAGGGAATTTTAACAGCTCAAGGGGATACAACATTTCTGTCTTGCACCATGTCCTGGATCTGAAGGAATCCCTCAAGCGTGTCCTGCAGCACCTACAAAAGGCAACGGGAGACTCCTCATCACATTTCAACCTTACCAAATCCTGTAGCAAGTGCCTCCCCGCTGTAGGACAAAGCTAGACTAAACCCTTGTAACAAATAACTTACTTGGTGAGTTTACCTCATCCCGATGCTTGTGATTTCCCTTTGGACAAGCTCTGCCCATCACAGATGTAGCAGTAGCCTTTGACAGTAACTTTTCTGACTTTCTTTTTTGCCTGTGTGCACACAAGGGTATGCAACTTATGCAACATGATCAGACCATCTGCACTGGTGAAAGGGTTAATTCAGTTCAGTATCCATGTGATAGCCCACACTGATCCCAATGAACAACTCCTGCTACAAAAACGCCAGGCAGCCTCCCATTTTTGGTTTTTTTTCTGGAACATGAGCATCTGAACAAAGAGGTTTGTGCCACTTCTCTGCATGGCATGGACAGCAATCTTTCAGCATGACTGACAGATAAAAACGCATGGCATGCCAAAGTCAAAATTTCCCATGTACTGGATAACAACTGTCTCCTTTTTAATTTTTGCAAGACAAGAACGGGATTAAATCTTTGCAACAAACAATTTCATTGCACCTTCCCCTCAGATGACTGTCTCCTGGGAGCAGATCCCACTTTCACCCCTTTGCACTTAGTGAAGAGGGACTGTGTCTGCATCTGGCTCGCTGCTTCAGTCCAAGGCACGACAAATACAAAATTATCAGAGAGAGGGCAGAGGTAGCAACCATTCCCTGGCAAGCGGCAAAAGCAATCTGAGCAGTTTCCTCTGAAGATTATACATGCTTTCATTGCCATGGTGAATCCTGCTCTGGTGCAGCCTTCCTGAAGGGTTCAGAGAAGGTGACATATTCCAACAACGTGGTTGCAAACCTTTAGATGTTCCAGAGCAGGAAGACTATTAAAAGCAACTTATCTGACGGAGTTTTGTTCAGTGGAGGAGGTCAGGAGGGTAGGGGAGTTAAAGGGCTTTCCCATCCTCCACCAGACAGCATCTCCTTGGAGAAGTGGCTCTTGGAAAGGGCAGTGAGGCATCGTTTAGGTCACTGCCTGCTTTGGAGATGCGTCTGTGCCAACCGTGAGCAGCAGGGAGTGACAGGCTGTTAGGTCATTTATGGCATAATTCCACAACAGCTGGCGGAAGCTGGTCCCTAGCAAGGCTTCCTACTGTTGCTGTCTAAAGCTCCAATAAGGAAGCCCCTTGACTACTTAGAAAATACCAAAACAAAGTCTTCAGAGGGGAAGGGAGCAGATCAACGTCTGCTTCCCAGCTCTGGGAATGGGGAGCAACATCAGCTTCAGGGCTCTCCTGTGTCCAATCTTCCCTTTCCCCCCTACAGCTGGGCAACAGGAGCCATTTTTTGTAGGATGTACTAGATCACTTGTTACTTGGGGAGAATGGCTACGAGTTGTCTTCTATGGATCCAGGACGGACAGTAGACTGCGAGGATGGCTTTTGCCTCACTAATGAGTGTCATGAAGACAGGTAAAACATATTTAAGACTCAGAAAATGATCAAAGGTAGCTTATATGAAGACAGCTTGCAGACAGAAGCCTGGGGAGTGGATCCTGTGCCTGAGACTGAGGCAAAGGCACCCAGAGTGAGGTCCCTTTGCTGACACTCTGTCCCACTGCAGGACGGGGGGAGGAACCAGAGACAGAGCCAGCTGCAGCAGCAGCCATCTCCCCAGCGTGCCGAACGTGCGACCACAGTCCTGCACTGCACCTGCTTCAGTTCCCAGCATAGATCTCTGAGGGTGCTGCTTAGCTCTCTCCCTCCTAAATTTGGGCTGTGCCCATTGCACAGATCACCCTTCTGCAGGGCACTCCCAGCATGACACTGCCAGGCAAGGCTGCGCTGTCGGGCATACCACAAGAAGTTGCTGGATCTGTCCTGCACCACCCAGTCCTCTGGCACATCCAGCACACTGCAGACCTAATGAGTTAAATTCTCACTGGAACATTGCATCTTGCAACTCCAAAGCTGCCGCTGTTTGGAAAACACTTTAAAACCCAGAGCTGCGTCCCCCCAAGATTATTCACTGCCTCCAAAACACATCCAGGCTTCAGGAGGAAAAGCTCAGATGGTTAATGGATGGTGTGTGGGGCACAGGATTGGCATGTCTGAATGCACACTGCAACATTTCTGGCCGGGATGGGCAGTCTCCCCAGGCATTAACACAACAGACCAAGTGCGGAAGGCTTTCCATGCAGACTAAGATGGCTACGTGCAAAGCAAGAAGGTGAAAGGTCCAAGTACCAGGTCAAAGGTTGCCTCGAGCGGTCGCTTCAGTGATCTGACAGCTGGCTGAGTCTTAATTAGCAGGCAGCGAGCACATGATGGCAATGGGCCAGGGAGTGGGGGTCAAGCACAGTAACAGAAACAGCGAGCAGAGGTGTGTCAAGGGAGCAACATTTTGGGGAGGCGAAGAGAAAAAAAAAAAGAATGTATTACACAACATATTAAAAAGATGAGGCATGCACAACGTGGAGTGGCTGAGAAATTACCTGGCCTAGTGGCTAGTCAGCAATTTTGCCTCCGTAAGTTTTAAAAGTAAAGAAATGTCATCATGGGACACATGCTTTAGAGCATCTTCACTGCGGCTGGCACAGCGGGTCAGAAACGCTCAGGGATTAGCACCTGCAAATGGACCTGCACCGGGCTTCAGCCCTGATTCTGCAGCTACACACCATGCAGAGGGCAGCAGGAACTCTTCTAGCAAGGGAAGGGCCATCAGTAAAGAAGGGATGTTCAAGCACATGCTTAGGTGCCATCCTGAACTGGGGACTGAGCCTGACACAGTTCATCTGACTGTGCTGCACTGACTTCGGCCAAGCAGGAGTGAGTAAAGCTACTACTTGTGCATGTCAAGTAACTGCAGGATTCAGACTCTCAGAAATATTGTCTGGATTTAGATTTGAAGTCATTCCAAACCTATTTTAGAAGGTACACCCATTTGTCTGGCATATGTTTTTTGATACAAGAAAACTGGGCACCATTCTTCCCTCTATTAAAGTCTTATTCCTGAACAGGTACAGTAAATGCATCAAACCTTGAAAAGTCAATGAATAATGTAAGCTGTTTTGGTAGCAGGGGTGGATGCAACAAGCCATCAATAAATATTTTAAAGATTCTAGCTAACAGCATACAAATAAGGTTAATTACATTTTTAAGAGAAGCCAGCAGCATGAATAAAACATGCACCAGCTTTGGTTAAGTAGCAATGTCCTAGATAATTAGTGAAGAAGTAAAGACTCAATTGTAAAAACACAAGAGCTCCATTTCAGAAGGTTTTTTTTCAACAGACCTGGGCTGCTGTTTCAACAACAATAAAAATAGTAAGAAATCTAACAAATAAGCTCTGCAGGACAAACAAATACTGCAGTATAAATTGGTTTTTCAATTACATTCCAGGTAATACTGATGCTAAAAGGAGGGCAGTCGCTTAATTTCTAGAATCTTCCCAGTTTTGCATTAGTTTTCACCACGAATGAAAAGCAACCTCTTTCACTGTCTTTTAAAAAAAACAGGGTATTTAGAAAAATTTTAATAGCCTTACTTGTAAATCAAAAAGTATGCAAGAGTCTTTTTAATATTAGTTATGAAAAAAAAATAATCACCAAATGGGACCTCTGGAGATCATCTAGTCCAACACCCTTCTCAAACCAGGGTCAGCTAAAGCAGCTTGCTCGGGACTGCATCCAGGTAGGTTCTGAGTATGTCCAAGGACAGAGCAACCTGTTACAGTGTTTGATCACCCTCATGGTAAAGAAGTTGGTTTTTTTTTTATGTTTAAATGGAATTTCCTACATTTAATTTTGTGCCCATTGCCTCTTGTCCTTTCACTGGGCACCACAGAAAAGAGTCTGCCTCCATCTTCTTTGCTCCCCCCATCAGGAATTTATACACATGGGTAAGATCCCCCAAGCCTCTTCTTCCCTCCCCAGCTCTCTCATCTCCGGAATAAATAGCTGTGATTAAACCAAATTCAACAGAATGGCAAACATTTACTCCAGCTAGGAATTTGATCTGGTAAATCTTCCTTGACTCATTTTTAGAACTACAGCTATTAGAATTCACAGTTCAAATTAAAATGCAGGTGGGACCATCTCTACCAGGTCCAAAGTATCAAACAGGTCAGGAAATCATCCTTGGTTTGAGTCTCGTCATTTCACTAAGTCTTGACAAAAGTATCAGGCACAAGTTTGCTAAACTTGAACCACTGATATCTTTGTCTGCTTTTAAGTCAGTGGAAATTTTGCCACTGACTTCAACAGGCCAGGATCTCCCTGCAATGGATGGGCAGTCTTTGCTTTTGTTGTGTACTGAGGAAGCTAAACTGACACCTACGACTTAGCCAGGGAAGACACTGGTTCCAGGTGCTGCTGCACTTGTGTTCATGTTACCTCATGATGTCATGTCAGAAAATCACAGGGTTTGCCACTGTGTCCCTAACTGGTGAGATGTACTATGCCACTTAGGGCTTCATGCTATGGTGAGCACACAGAAAGGATGAAGAGATGGGATTCAGATTGCACATGCTCTCACCTCTCCAGTCAGCCATCTACAAAGCACTCTGCTTTTCCACACATAACACATATGACACAAATGAAATCTCTTAGCAATAAAAATACAGCTTGATAAGAGCTCTACTTACCATTGCAGCTGCAGCTGTCTGGTTCACCTGGTGTTGAGCTGCCTTGATTTTGGCTTGCAGGTGTGCAGGGGGATGAAAGTACTTGCATTTCTCCCTAGAGCATCGACCTTTGATGTAATCCATGCAAACTGTAACAGTATTTTCATTTGTGTCTATCATTGCAATATCTATAGGGTGAGCATAGCGGCAATCATTCTCACCACGTGTGCAATTTCCACGCTGAAACTCTCGACAAACCTTAAAAGAAAGTCACATTGTTGAGCAGAACATCAAGTTACTCTTCATTCGGTATTTTCAATACAGAATATCAGTTCAGTTGGCCACATTAAACTATGTGTGTATTCTAAATCCATGCTCATCCTGGGTAGCACGTATACCAACAGTCACAGGGGCAACCAGTGCTAGTCACAACTGGTTGAGGGTATGAAAAAATGAAACATGTTACCAAGGCAAATTACCAAATACAAGTGAAGTACAGAATTCATGCAGAATTGAAAATAACCCCAGGAAGTTAATGTCATTTTGCCAAAACTTTTGGAGCTCAGGATTCCTCTCCTGCCTCTAAAGCTCAATTGTTAATAACTTGATTACGTATTTGTTATGGAGCATACTCTCAGGCAGCACATGTAATTCTAAATGTTGCATGGTGCTGTTATTTGCAACAAGTACCTTTTCTTAAATACGAGGAGCCTCTTTGACATAAATAGTCTCACTGCCCTCTACAGTAAAACTCACCCTGGGTTTACATGACAGTGCATTTGATTACACTGCAATGCATTCATAAAGCATTATGAAAACTGCTAGCTTTACAAAGATCTTGAAGATCCTTGTAAGTTATGAGCAGTGAAGCATCAAAAGCAGAGAAAAAAGTTTCACAAAATGGATCTGCAAGGTTTCTTACTCTGAGGAACTACGAGAAATTGTTAAGCACTATAGCGGGTGGTGCAGATCATGTACCAGTACACTGAGTGTGGGGAACGGTGAAGCAATCAGCAAGACAATATAAAATACATAACACAAAACAATGTGTTTTGAAATTACACCCTTCTCTACTACGTTCCTGTTTTATAATTTACACCTGCAGGGGCCTTTGAATTCAGGTCCTCAGCCCTTATCTCCTGCAGAGCCTCTGCTTAGGGTTTGAAAGACATTTACAATTCCTCCAACACTAAGTTCCAACATGCCCAGCCAACCTGGGGCGGGGGGGGGAGAGGAGGAGACGTCTTTCCAATGCCCCGTTATCCAGCATTCCCAAGTGTAATGCTTAAAGCTTTCTGTAAAAGCTCAATAAGCCCATCTCAAGACAAGAGAAGTGTCCGTTACTTTCAAAACATCTCCAACGCAACACAGTGAAATGGCAGACCATCCACTTGCATTTTTTTAAGTGTGGCAGATCACACACAGCGAGCAACAATTCCAGCCCTGCTCTAACACCCACTGAAATTAGAAGAATAAGTGCTCCCAAATTTCCAGTGCCTTCCACGGATTTGGGATCATGAGAGTCTGCTCAAGCAGAGAGCAGCAGCCCTGTGTTAGGAAAGCTGCAAGTTAAACTCTGTGCTGTGCTGCATCAGGTCATTCTAGCAGAGAACAAAAGCTGGGCCCACGTGCCCTGTTCATTCCCATCAGCAGTATTGTATCAGATGTCCAAATACCTCCAGTTTATCCGTACGCATCAGTTTCTGCCCAGCAGAGCCTCCTGGTACTGTAACAGTAGGATTTCCGGAAACCAGGACAGGAGTATTTGGTAAAAGCTCTGCAGGAACCAAGCCCATCCCCGGAGAAACATGACTCAGGTAGGGACTAAAAGCCATCGTGGGGCTCGTTGCAAGCGATGGAGTCACAGGAAACGTTGTCTGTGTATAGAAAGAGGGAAACCAAAATATTAGTTAAAAAGCTCTGTCTTGGATTACCCATCAAAGCCTTCCAGCACTTCAGTCCTTTTAAACAATTTGATTAGCAACATCAAAATACTGTGCTCTCCAATATTTTCATTTATCACCATTTTCTTGTGATCCATTTGTTTCTCCTGACTCACAGATTTGTGACTCATCCTGAACACAAGGCATCTTTATTTGCCAGATCAAAGCATATTGATGAGCTTTATAGTCTAATGACACAATTAAGGATTTCACGCCAGCAATTAGGGCAGGCCCAAATTAAACAGACTTCTTATTCCCAAACAAATGTCCCAGCTTCTGTATGTCTCCACCGCAATGCTGTACAGATGCCTCAAGGTGAGCTGTGGGTTCAGGACCTGGAAGCACATAACTCCATTAGCTACATGGTTGAATTCACGACCAGCCTGCACTGAGCTCCATGGTGTCATGGCTAGTGTGGCTCAGGTAGACAAACGGGATCATTTAGAGTCAGGCAAGGCATCTCTGCTACAGTACGCTTGGAGATCTAGCATTCTGCACATCTGGGGTTTGTTCCAGACTGCCAACAGCCTCCAGGCAAAAGCAGTTTTGCAGGAGCATCCCAAGCCTATGCTCCACGGGAATGGAGCAGGAGGACACCAAACTCAGCAGTGTTACAATGTGCCAGACCTCATGGCTTTGTCAAGAGCAGGTGGATCACAGGCTTGGAAGAGCCACAGACAGAGCATACCAGATGAGATGGCCCCGGTGGGCCAGCACAAGGTCCAGGGCCCCAGTTATGCTGTGAGGAGTGATGTCCCCATGAGGAGACAGAACAACAAGCCATAAAGATCTCAACTGCTTCTGATCCCTACATGGCGGTCAGCAGGCCCTGCAAGCGCAGCAGAGCTCCAGCGCTGGTGGCCAGAGCAGCCCTGGCCTGGGGAAGGAGCTGCCGTCCTGCCAGGCAGGTGGGATCACACAAAGCTCCTAAGCCGGTGCTCCATCTGAAGTCTGTGAACAGCCCCTACAGCCAGGGAGTTTGTGAGACTTTAAAGCACCAGATCCGAGGTGTGTTTAGGAATGAACCCAATTCCAGCTGATGAAAAATCCCCCCTGACTGCCCTGAAGACCAGAGCCTGCAAGGCTGTGCTCCTGCTCCTGTAGCAGGGGTTCGAGCAGCCCCCAGGGAAGGAGCCTGTGACTTGCACCTGTTTTTATTTTCCCTCTGTCACCTGCTCCACTGTGAACTCTGCATTACAGTTAAAGCTGCTCACATTTGCAGGCATAGGTGATGCTGTCCTCAGTAGCTAGAGCCTCTACTTGGCAATAAACACAAGCATGCTCTCAAAATGGCCTGGGGCGGGCGTTCTTTTTGGTCAGACATATCATCCTCTCCTTGCTTCTATTTTTGTAGCTCCTTGCTTCTGTTTTAGAAATCCTGTGGGTTTCGAAAAGAAATCGCACATGGACAGTGTGTTTCTCAACAGCAACTTCCTCCTAGTACTTTCATAAGCTAGGAAACACTTTGCTTGTTGTGATCTGGAAGAAGCAAGCCCACAGTAACACCAGCCAAGCTGTCCTAACCTATATTTAGCTTAATGATACCCCCCTCATAAGGTCAGAGTGACAGCAAGCAGCTCCTGAGCTGATGGGAAAGGAGATGACAGGTCAGTGCCAGGGTATGTTCCACTTTCTCCTCCACAACAAGGAGACACGGCCTCCTGAATCAGCAGCACTGGGTGCTTTAAGTGCAGCAGAACCAAATAATCCTCTCTGGAAGGATTTCCAATTTTCATTCTTTTGAGCCTAAATCAAGTCCTGCTTCGGCTGATGGGAGACTTTAACCATTAAACCTAGAGATCCTCCAGTTCACAGCTCTTTATTAAATCATTTTCTTCTTTCTCTGTGGCTCCCAGACATTTTACGCCTTTTGCTGCTGAAAGAGCTCTTTAAGGATCTTCAAACACTGTGACTCCCTGAACGTTTCAGTGAGAAGGCAGCATCCATTACACTGTTTTCTTTTGTGCAAGCACCAGTAATTGCAGTAGCATCTGCTGAACTTCTGCCACCATTCGCACTGTAAATACTATTTTAAGGAGTTTCTCCAGCCTGGCCAGTCTGCACAGGGTTATGCTGGGGCCCAACACTCATTGTCAGCATTTGTTTTGTGTTCCTGTAGTAGCCCAAACCCTGCAGCACACGTGGCGTGCACAAATGTGTGGGCAAACCTACCCTATGTGTTTTCAACACCCGATACAGCTGGAGTCCTGGGTATCCTGGCAGAGCAGGTATAGCAGAGACACTGCTCCAAAATTTCAGGAGAGCCTTTAAGGCAGGCTTCCCCTGCCTGGGCTCAAACACAACCAGGAGCCAGCCTGAGGACCTAGCTGGTTTCCTGAGATGGAGGGGAGATGTTCCTCCCTCTGCTCAAGCAGAGGATGCCAGGGCATTTGTGCAGGCAGGGAGGAAGGCTGGGGGCTTGCAACATCTCACACTGAGTGAATTCACCAGGAACTGGTGGGAAGGGGTGTGAAACATTTGCAAAGAGATGATATACAAGCCCCTCCATCAAAGCCACTACAAACTGTGAGACAGGTTCTGCTCCCTGAAACACCACCTGTAGCTCCAAGGCTGTTCCCTCAAGTGCAGCCCCTCTCCTCACTGGGAACGACAGGCAAGGGTTAAGGGAGCTGAACGCAAGCTGAAGAGAGCAGAGGACCGATGTCCATGAAGAGCAATTGAGGATCTACCCGTGATCCTGGAGACCTGCAGAGGGGTGCAGGAAGGAGCAGGATGGGTTTTTATCACTGCTGCTGGTCATTCACCCATTTCTATGCCCTGGCATCTGCTCCAGCGTTCCCAAGGTTTCATAACTGCTTCTTCTGCCCACCTGAACCGTGCGCCTGGTGCTGCTGACTGAAGTGACAGTTCTGCTCCACACCCTGCCCGCAGGCAGGGGACTGGCACTTGCAGCCATGCAGGCGTTCTCAGCGGATGCACAGCCAGAGAACAGGCAGACCTTGCTCAACACGTTAAACCTAGAAGCCGTGGGGTTTTAAAGTCTGAAGTGCGCTAAGTGCACTGAAAACTGCTCCTTTGTGAGCTGGCATCAGGGAGCTCTGTATTTATTGTGGCTGATGAGGGGAAAAGATGGGCTATGCTCATTGCCAGCCCCAACTGCCTGTCTTGGATTGGTAAATCCAGTCTGGCTCATGATACAGTACCAGTAATAAAGATGCTGCCAGCCAAATCTCTCCTCCCTTTACGTCTGGTGCAGGTCCCCTGTGCCAGGCCTGTCCTGAGGGAATTTGAGCAAGTTTCTTCCTCACAGCCAGAACTCAACTGTAATTTTTATTCCAAACAGCACTGCTCTCCTCAACATGCCTCCCCATCCACCTCTTGTTATTGCACCCAGCCAGGAGACCTGACAGATCAATATTATGACTATACCTAAAAAAAAAAAAGTCCCAACTTAGTTGCTGGTGTGCTCTAGGGCAAACCAGCCAGATTGCAAGTATGTCTTACCCCTACTGCCCTCTTTAAAGCTATTGCAAATCCAGGAAATACAGGGGCAAGTTTCCTTGCAAACGACCTTTTTTTTAACCATAGCACATGCAGACACTACCAGTAACTCCTGAGCAAACAGGTTACAGCACAGCAGCAGAGGGCTTCAGACCAGTAACAGCTCACAAGACTGGTTGAGTATTAAAATGCTTGTAAGAAT